TATTGGGGTCCTGAATGAGAAGAACAGGCAGCCACGAATACATTCTCCAGCAAGGCTGTCATTCAGAATAGAAGGAGAGATAAAGAGCTTTCAGGATGAAGAGAATCTGAAACAATATGTGATCACCAAAGCAGCTCTGCAAGAAATATTAAGGGTGTACCTGTAAGCAAAGAGGGAGCCCAAAGAAACAATCTGAACAGGGATCCCTGGGTGGCTCAGTGGTTTAGCACCTGCCTTCATCTAAGGGCTTGATCCTGGAGTCCTGGAATCGAGTCCCGCATCAACCCCCGCCCCATGGAGGCTGCGTCTCCCTCTCCCTCTGCCTGTGTCTGTGCCTCTCTCTCTGTGTGTGCCTCTCATTAATAAATGAATTTTTAAAATCTTAAAAAAAAGAAACAATGTGCACAAGGAGTGACTGAATAGGTAACACTATGAGACTAAATTGATATTCATATCTTTCAGTAGTTACTCTGAACACAAATGGGCTAAATCATCCTGTCAAAACATACACAGTATCAGACTGTTTAAAAAAGCTTATCTATATCCTGTCTACAAGAGACCACTTTTAGACCTAAGGACACCTTCATATTGAGGGGATGGAGAAACATTTACCATTCAAATGGACCTCAAAAAAAATGGGGTAGCAATCCACACATCAGAGAAATTAAAGTTTATCCCAAAATTTGTAATAAGATATGAGGAGGGATAGTATATCATAATTAAAGGGTCTGTCCTTTAATAAGAAACTAAAAATTATGAATATTTATGCCCGTAATGTGGGAGCAGCCAAGAATATCAACCAATTAATACTCAAAATAAAGGGATACTTAAATAATAATAATAAATAGTCAGAGACTTCAACAAGGCACTCTCAGCAAAGGACAGATCTTCTAAGCAGAAGATCAGCAAAGAAACAAGGGCTTTGAATGACTCACAGAACCAATTGGATTTCACATATACAAACAGAACATTCTGCCCTAATGCAATATAATACATATTCTTCTCAAGTGCACATGGAACGTTCTCCAGAATAGACCACATACTGGGTCATAAATCAGATCTCAACTTATATCAAAAGATTGGGATTGTCCACTGCATATTTTGAGGAGTAGAACTCAATCACAAGAAGAAACTTGTAAGGAAGTCAAACACTTGGAGGTTAAAGTGCATCCTACTAAAAGATGAAAGGGTCAACCATAAAATTAGAGAAGAATTAAAAGATTCATGGAAATTAATGAAAATGAAAATACAACTGTTCAAAATCTTTGAGATACAGCAAAAGCGGTCCTAAGAGGGAAATACCTCAATACAAGCCTCCCTCAAAAAACTGAGAAATCTCAAATATACAGCTAACCCTACACCTAAAGGAACTGGAGAAAGATCAGCAAATAAAGCTTCAATCAAGCAGAAGAAGAGAGATAATAAAGATTTGAGCAGAACTCAATGAAATAGAAACCAGAAGAAGTGTAGAACATATCAATGAAACCAGGGGCTGATTCACTGAAAAAATTAATAAGATAGATAAATCCTTAGCCAGACTTATTAAAAAGAAAAGAGACTCCACTTAATAAAATCATGAATGAAAAAAGAGAGAGCACAACCAATACCAAGGAAATACAAACAATTTTAAAAATGTATTATAAGAGAACCCTGGGTGGTGCAACGGTTTGGCGCCTGCCTTTGGCCCAGGGCGCGATCCTGTTGACCCGGGATCGAAATCCACGTCGGGCTCCCGGTGCATGGAGCCTGCTTCTCCCTCTGCCTGTGTCTCTGCCTCTCTCTCTCTGTGTGACTATCATAAATAAATAAAAATATTTAAAAAATTAAAAAAGATATATTATAAGCTACCATATGTCAGTCAATTAGGCAATCTGGAAGAAATGAGTATATTGCTAGACATCTTCAAATTACCAAAAGTAAAACAAGAAGAAATAGAATACAGGCCAAAAAGCAGTGAGGAAATTGAACCAGTCATCAAAAACCTCCCAGGACACAAAAGTCCAGGGCCTGATGGCTTTCCAGGGGAATTCTTCAAACACTTAAAGAAGAAATAATACTTATTCTACTAAAGCTATTCCAAAGGACAGATGGAAAGAATGCTTCCCAAGTTGTCCTATGAGACCAGCAATACCTTGACCCCAGAACTAGACTAAGACCCCATCAAAAAGAATAATTACAGACCAATATCCCTGATGAGCATTGATGCAAAAATTTTCACCAAGATACTAGCCAACGGGATGGAACAGTACATCAAGAGGATTATTCACCAGGACCAAATGAGATTTATCCCTGAGGTGCAAGGATGGTTCACCAGTCCTAAAACAGTCAATGTGATAATCATATCAGTAAAAGACAAGAACTGTATGATCCTCTCAATAGATGCAGAGAAAGCATTTGACAAAATACATCATCTGTTCCTGACAAAACTCTTCAAAGTGTAGGGATAGAAAGGACAAATCTCAATATCATTAAAGCCACCTATGAAAAGCCCACAGTGAATATCATTCTCAAGGGGGAGAAACTGAGAGCCCTTTCCCTAAGGTCAGGAACACGACAGGAATAGCCACTCTCACCACATAGCACATGAAAAGTAATGAAAGGCATTCAAACTGGCAAAGAAGAGGTCAAAATCTCCTTTGCGATGACATGATACTGTTTCTGGAAAATCCAAGACTCCACCCCAAGATTGCTAGAACTCATATGGCAATTTAGCAATGTTGCAGGATTAAAATTAATGCACAGAAATTGGTTGCATTTTTATTCACTAATAATGAGACTGAAGAAAGAAAAATTAGGGAATCAATTCCATTTACAATTGCACCCCAAACTGTGAGATAACTAGAAATAAACGCAATCAAAGAGGTAAAGGATCTATGCTCTAAAAAGTACAAAACACTTATGGAAGAAATCAAGGAAGAGATAAAGAGATGGAAAAACATTCCATGAACTGGAGGGTATTATGCTGAGTGAAGTAAGTCAATCGGATAAGGACAATCATCATATGGTGTCACTCGTATGAGGAATATAAGAATTAGTGAAAGGGACTAAAAGGGAAAGGAGGGAAACTGAGTGGGGAAAATTAGAGGGGGTGACAAACCATGAGAGACTCCTAACTTAGGGAAACGAACACAGAGTAGTAGGAGGGGAGGTGGGCGAGGGGATGGGGTAGCTGGGTGATGGGCATTGAGGAGGGCACTTGATGGCATGAGCATTGGGTGTTATACTATATTAATTAAATTTAAGTAAAATATAAAAAAATACACAAATGTTCCTAGCAGCTTTATTTATTAACAGTCACCCTGGGACTAGTTGACATGGTCATCAATAGATGAATAAACTCCTTGTTTTATAGGCATAGGATGGGATACTACACTGCAACAAAAGGAACAAAGTCTTGATAATTATGACTATGGAAGAATTTCAAAATAAGTGTGCTGAGAAGCAGCCAAACCAAAGAGTGCATGTGATTCCATTTATACAAAGTTATAAAACATGCAAACTAATTCATAACAAAAAGGTTCCCTGGAAATGGGTGTATTGATGGTTGAGAGAAGGATGACAAAGAGATTAAGAAGAAAAATTTGCGGTGATACATATACATGTTCATTATCTGGATGCGGTGATGGCTTCACAAATGGATACACACATCCCATTTTATAGTATTGTTCAATTTGGTGCAGTTTATTGTTATGAAAATTATGTATTAATACAGCCATTAATATCCACATTTAGCACGCAGAGTCTTCCCTCACTCTTATACAAGTCTTCTCATGTGACACAAATGCAAAATATTGCTCCCACAGGCTTTGATTGCCCTGAAACTACATTTTTTAAAGTTATACACGATGTCTTCCTGCATCTATGTACTACATTGTTTATTTTCAACCATCATGATTCCAACCTATTTCACATTGTCCTTGCATATCTGAATAGAAGTTTGTAGGTGCTTGTCCAAAATTCCTTTCTAGCATAGATTTGAGGCAGGTTTCTGACAATATTTGGAAGGTGGAGGGAAAGCAAAGAGATACATGACCTAAAACAGGATCCAAGCCTAAATTTCTTACTCCTCTCTGCATCTGGGAAACCGTTACACTATGTTGGCTCTGAACTCATAAAGTTCTTGACCTGAATGTGTGGGGAGTCACCTCCAGGAAACAGCTGCACTAAGCTTCTGAATGTGTCCAGGAATAAATGTTAACAGGACTTTATGAAAGTTCTGTAAGTCTCCAACTTTTTCCTAGTAATCCTGATTTCTTCCATTGTAGGGAAAATTATTTGATTAATATTTGGCAACAGATTAAAAAAATCATCCATGGATGATGTTTCTTTGTCTAGAATTCCTACTTTTCACTTTTAAATGATACTGAAATTTAGGAATATCCAAAAACATTTGAATATAGAATATTTTCTTCAGAAAACCTTATTAAAAAGATATATTATTATTATTGGTATTATTTTAGAACCACTTAAATACTGTATTTCAAGTAAAGGCCATTTGTTCATTACTTTGTGTAACTTAACAAACAATTAGTGAGTAGTTAAAAAATGAAGGTCACTATTCTTAATTTAGGAGTATGGTGCCAAAATACACAGAATCAATCAGCAATTTCTTTTCTTCTTATTACTTTTTCTGTAATCAACCCTGACCACTTTTCTGACAGACAGTGGATTATAGGCTGGCCAACATGGGTATATGAGAATATTATAAAGTACTGTTGTAGAATGCTTCAGTACTTGGTTACCCTGTCAGCTACCAAATCCCCCGGGATGACGTGTTATGGAACTTCCATACCAGGTGGTGTCTGAAGAACAAAATAGACTTGAGAGGTTAGATGTTGTTTTTCAGAGTTCAAAGTGCCACCTGAAGCCCGACATGTGCCTCAGAAGTCAGGGATGAAACAAGGTTGCTGAGTTTGGGAGGACTCTGACCAACATATTTCATTCAGTCCCTGTCCACCAGGGGGGTGCAGCTTCCTACCACAAACACTACCCTGTGTGAAATGAGGGCTTCCCTGATCATTTCCCTCACACCACGTTTCTTCACGTTGAAGAGTGATGAACATTATTTAGGTGACATTCCAGAGATGAAGTGTCCTCCAGGCTTTGTGATTGCCCTATTCTTCATGCTTGGTAAGTAAAATGTCACTTAAAATTTCAATTTATTTTTTTCCACTATGTCAGCAAAACTGAATTTAACTATTATTTTCTCTAAGAGCTTCATGCCCAAAGAGACACCGATCTCTTTTCTTTTTCGCCCAGGGCAAACCCATGGGGACTCAGTGAACCAGACAGAAGGCCAAGTGACCCTCTCAGAAGAGGCCTTCATGACTATGAACTGTACTTTCTCAACATCATGGACCCCCACTCTAGTCTGGTATGTCCAGTATCTGGGAGAAGGTCCAAAGCTCCTCCTGAAAGCCGTGACAGACAAGGAAAAGGGAAGCAACAAAGGTTTTGAAGCCACCTTGGACAAAACATCCAGATCCTTCCACTTGAAGAAAGGCTCGGTGCAACTGTCAGACTCAGCTGTGTACTACTGTGCCTTGAGTGACACAGTGATAGGGACTGCAGAGGGAGCTGGGTGCAAACTCTGAGCAGAGCAGGGCCTGGATGCTGAGTCTCTCTGACTGATCCACTGTGGTTCTCGCGCAGTCTGTGGTTGTCTTCGGTGTCTGGTTGATACAAAGTCAGACAAATGGCTGGAGCTTAGGAACCAGAAGTTACTTTGCACAACATCAACCGTTCTTTAGTGACATTTAAAATAGTTTGATGCCAAGAGTTCCTCATCCAGGGTGTAAGCAATTTCAAGATAAATCCATGTAACAATGAGGTGGCACCTACCTGATTCTTGCTGTGAGAGTCCAGCCGCACAAGTGGGTCAGGCAGGCCTGGTGGGTATTACTGTGCCTTATGACACTTTTACAGAGACACAGTGTGCCTGAGAAGGTGGCATCTGCCCAGTGTCTTCCTGATGGAGTTTGATGGGAGAGGTGATGGGAGAACTTCAGCTTCCAACCAGGATTAGGGGAGAAAGAAGGGAAGGGAAGAAAGGAGGAGGAACACATGTACCTAAGCAAGGAAGAGAGAGGCCCTGGGCCTTTATTTAGTTGCTGTAAAATATAAATTTTATTTCCAAATTTGTATAAATGTGAAAGCATCTGAAAATGTAGTTTGAAAATTTCAAATTTCTCAGACATTTGGATAAACATATTAAACTAGAAATGCCTGCCTGGCTCTGTAGATAAAGCTGCAACTCTGGATCTCAGGTTTTATGCTTCAGCCCATGTTGGGTGCAGGTTACTTAAAAAAAAAAAAGGTCTAAAAAACCTCCATGGTAGATAATAATACTTGTTTATCTCTTGATTTCCAAAATACTCATTTTTGGAAAATATTTTATTTGTTCATTTGAGAGACAGAGTGCCTAGGCACAGCGTCTACAATAGGTAGATGGCAGGGAAACACAGGCACCTCACTGAGCAGGGAGCCTTAAATTGAGGCTCAATTCCAGGACCCTGAGATCATGACCTGAGCTGAATGCAAAATCTTAAATGACTGAGCCTCTCACATCCCTCTAATACTCTTTAAGAAGTTTAGTAAAGATATCCCAAAGGGCAGAAATTCACAAACACAAAGCGAAACATGAAAGAAGTTCACAGCAAACTGTAAAGTCAACCAATTTTAGAAAATGAGCTGTTTATGCTTAGGAGCGAACAAAGATACTAAAGAAGAAAACCAGGCCTAGTGTGGAAGCACTCAGTGTTGCTGTGCCCTCCAGAAAGGGTCAAGGAAAAGAAGCACCACATATTTTTTTGTGAATTAAGGAAGATTTCATGGCCCACATTGGTGGGAATGTGTGTGTGTGTGTGTGTGTGTGTGTGTGTGTCTTGAGTTTAAGGGAAGGAATCTAAGTAGACTGAGTGGTCACCTTCAGCGCTCAGACCTGAGCATACAAAGCATGGAAGGTTACTGTGATTCAGCTGATGTAATGGAATGAAATAAATATAAGAGTTTGGTAACCTAATGACCAGCTCTGGTGTCTCTTCTGGCCATTCTAAATTGCTGAACTGTGGAAATTAAGCAGTGAGGAGGAGGAAGAGGAGAGCTCAGGGACAGGATCTATTGTCTGAGCGCTGCAGCCTGAGGTCTTTAGCAAAGAGTGATTAGATTTTTCTGCTGTCCGGCCCCAGAGAGGCATGTGACCCGACCCTGACAGTGAGGAGGAACACGAGCATTCGCCAGAGGTAGCTTGAAAGAGCTGCAATGAATAGTCTGAACACTTTGCCTTCTTGGCATAAGTGACTTATTTCTGCCTTGGGTGAAATCACATAGTGTGAGCATACAAGATTCTTATATCTTGTTTTCATGATGTTACATGTTATGTGGTTTCTATAATTCACTACATGTAGTATTAAATGATTATGTACTGCTTCAGGAATTTTCATGTCCTTCTTACACATGGGCCATGCTAATATCCTCTGTATCATTCTAATTTTAGTGTATGAGCTCCCAAAGGGAGCCCTGTCCATCATATGTTCAGTAAGTGCCACCCGCCCACTCTTATCTCAAATGCATTGAATGAACACATCACAGTTAAACCATCTATCCTAAGTCTTCGTTTCAATATGAATCTTACTCAAGTTTATTTTCAGGGGGGAGGGGCAAGTTGGCGGAAGAGCAGGGTCCCCAAATCACCTGTCCCCACCAAATTACCTAGATAACCTTCAAACCATCCTGAAAATTTACGAATTCGGCCTGAGATGTAAAGAGAGACCAGCTGGAACGCTACAGTGAGAAGAGTTCGCGCTTCTATCGAGGTAGGAAGACGGGGGGAAAAGAAATAAAGGAACAAAAGGCCTCCGAGGGGGAGGGGCCCCGCGAGGAGCCGGGCTGAGGCCGGGGCAAGTGTCCCCAGGACAGGAGAGCCCCGTCCCGGAGGAGCAGGAGCTGCACCAACCTTCCCGGACGGGCGGAAAGGGGCTCGCAGGGAGTTAGAGCAGGACCCAGGAGGGCGGGGATGCCCTCGGGCTCCCGGGGACACTAACAGACACCTGCGCCCCGGGAGAGTGCGCCGAGCTCCCTAAGGGCTGCAGCGCGCACCGGAGCAGCTCGGAGGGGCTCGGGAGCGGCTCCGCGGAGGGGGCTGCGGGGCGGGAGCGCAAATCCAACAGCGCAGGCCCCGGAGCACAGGGCGCCGGGACACAGCCCAGGATCCGGCCTCCCCCTGGGACAGGCAGAGGCCGGGAGGGCCCAGGACAGCAAGGACGCTCCTGCCCCGAGCTGAGCAGATCAGCGGCCCCGCCCCGGAGCCTCCAGGCCCTGCAGACGGAGAGCCGAGAGCCCCGAGCCCCCGTAGTTCCTGCGGAGGCTAAATCCAGGCTTCCAGAGTTGCCATAGCAACTGCTGCTGTTCCTCCTGGGGCCCCACGGGGTAAACAACCCCCGCTGAGCCTGGCAGCAGGCAGGGGCAGAGCAGCTCCCCCAAGTGCTAACACCTGAAAATCAGCACAGCAGGCCCCTCCCCCAGAAGACCAGCTAGATGGACCAGTGATACTCCCCCGTGTTCCAATACAACTTGTTTTTGGCCACTCTGCACTGAGCAAAATGCCTAGAAGGAAAACCTCACCTCAAAAGAAAGAATCAGAAACAGCCCTCTCTCCCACAGAGTTACAAAATCTGGATTACACTTCAATGTCAGAAAGCCAATTCAGAAGCACTATTCTACAGCTACTGGTGGCTCTAGAAAAAAGCATTAAGGCCTCACGAGACTTCATGACTGCAGAATTTAGATCCAATCAGGCAGAAATTAAAAATCAATTGAATGAGATGCAATCCAAACTAGAAGTCCTAACGACGAGGGTTAACGAGGTGGAAGAACGAGTGAGTGACATAGAAGACAAGTTAATGGCAAAGAGGGAAACTGAGGAAAAAAGAGACAATCAATTAAGGGACCATGAAGACAGATTAAGGCAAATAAATGACAGTCTAAGGAAGAAAAACCTACGTTTAATTGGGGTTCCCGAGGGCGCCGAAAGGGACAGGGGGCCAGAATATGTATTTGAACAAATCCTAGCTGAAAACTTTCCCAATCTGGGAAGGGAAACAGGCATTCAGATCCAGGAAATAGAGAGATCCCCCCCTAAAATCAATAAAAACCGTTCAACACCTCGACATCTAATAGTGAAGCTTGCAAATTCCAAAGATAAAGAGAAGATCCTTAAAGCAGCAAGAGACAAGAAGTCCCTGACTTTCATGGGGAGGAATATTAGGGTAACAGCAGACCTCTCCACAGAGACGTGGCAGGCCAGAAAGGGCTGGCAGGATATATTCAGGGTCCTAAATGAGAAGAACATGCAACCAAGAATACTTTATCCAGCAAGGCTCTCATTCAAAATGGAAGGAGAGATAAAGAGCTTCCAAGATAGGCAGGAACTGAAAGAATATGTGACCTCCAAACCAGCTCTGCAAGAAATTTTAAGGGGGACTCTTAAAACTCCCCTTTAAGAAGAAGTTCAGTGGAACAATCCACAAAAACAAGGACTAAATAGATATCATGATGACACTAAACTCATATCTGTCAATAGTAACTCTGAACGTGAATGGGCTTAATGACCCCATCAAAAGGCGCAGGGTTTCAGACTGGATAAAAAAGCAGGACCCATCTATTTGCTGTCTACAAGAGACTCATTTTAGACAGAAGGACACCTACAACCTGAAAATAAAAGGTTGGAGAACCATTTACCATTCAAATGGTTCTCAAAATATACCCTAAAAACTATAGAACACTTCTGAAAGAAATTGAGGAAGACACAAAGAGATGGAAAAATATTCTACGCTCATGGATTGGCAGAATTAATATTGTGAAAATATCAATGTTACCCAGGGCAATTTACATGTTTAATGCAATCCCTAGCAAAATACCATGGACTTTCTTCAGAGAGTTAGAACAACTTATTTCACTGGTTCACTTTTAATCCTCATTCAATCTTAGCCTCTGTCCATCTGCATTTCCTTATTCTGGAAGTTTGGAATGAATGGGGCAGGGGCTCTGTGTCTGTTACTTGGTCTGAAGTGCTCCTGGCTGACCACTTCAGTCCTCTAGGGGGCACTCTAGGCTTTACAAGATACAAAGACTTTCTGATGATGCAAGGATTGAACAGAGACAAAAATCTCTTATAGAGAGACAAAAATCATTTGAGCGAGTCCAGTTATAGATTGAAAAGGTGGGGGCGTGGGGGAAAAGGGTTTGTGTAAAGTTGATCTCAGGTTTTTAGTTCTGCCATTTCAACTTCAGACATCTAGAGGCCATGACCCTATAAATCCACTATGCAGATAATCCTTCAAAGACGCCAGGATAGGAATTTTTCTGGGCATTGTGACTATGAAAACTCAACACAAAACATCCAATTACCCTTTTTCAAGTTTTATCAGTAATCCCCCAAATATTGGCCTTGAAACTATTTCAATACCCCAGATATCCTGCCTTTTCATACGTCTCTGCTGAGAGTGGAGGGAACAGGAATGAAGAGAGAAGAAGAAGAGAGGAAAAAGTGAGGAACAAAAATAGAAGGAAATGGAGAGGACAATAATGACTTTGATCAGCAACATGTGACTTCTCCAGGCTCAGCTGTGTGGGTGAGCAGGGTGTCCACCGGTTAAACAGGAGAAGTGGAAGATGAAAGCTAAATCAGACAGAACATTATGGAGGCATCCTATAATTTGCCAAACAAATTCTGGTTGGAATAATTTTCGGTGTAGATGGTGACTGTTGGTCTTGGTTTCTAAAACTCTCCTGATTTTGAGAAATTGTAGTTACTTCTGCAGTACACACTGCATGCTATCAGATAGTTTTCCTCTATCACTATTTTTTATATAACTGTCTTCTCACATTGTCTGTGAAACTGCACTTTTGAGAATGGAGTCGCTCTTCGTTATGATTCTTCAAGGTTCTGTGTAGCCCCCACTGAGACACTGACTCTTCTAGAAATATCACTCACCTTTCCTCACACACTAACCCCGAAATTTCTTACAGAAAGTGTTTTATGAAAAAAAAAAAAACCTCTTGTCCTCCTATATTGGAAATATCACCCCTAGCTGCCTGCACCGTTGGCAAGCACAATTTTGAAGACATCACTGTGTGGTGTCACTGAGGCACTGTGGGTGGAGTATCGAGTTCAGTGAAGGATGGGGCTGAGGTGTGATTGGTGCTCAGTGAGTGTGGTGGAACAGATTGACTGTAAGAACACAGTTTCTCTGGAACTCTACACTCTGCACAGTAGAGGTGAAGGCACCCCAATAACTGCACAAGGAATCATGAGGAGATACTGGGAAGCTGTGCTGGGGCTCCTGTGGGTGCATGGTTGCTGTGAGTGGGGGCATCGGGACCAGGGTTGGGGAGCGATCTGCAGTCCACAGTGTGTGGGGAGTGGAGCTGACACTGAGGTTTGAGAGGGTCCTACATCATCATGGTTGTGACTTGGGATATTTTACAGGTTTAAAATCTGCATCGGTAACTCCCCAGTGATATCATTTGTGTATGTTTTTCTCTTTCAAGCAGTAGTGACAGGGATGAAGGTGGAGCAGAGCCCTTCAGCCCTGAGCCTGCAGGAGGGAGCCAGCTGTACTCTGAAGTGCAATTACTCTAGCGTAGTGAACAGTGTGCAGTGGTTCCGACAGAATCCCGGGGCGGCAGCCTCACCAGGCTGTTTTACATAGCTTCAGGGATGAAGCAGAGCGGAAGGCTAAACTGCACAGTGAATACTAAGGACCAGTCCAGCACCCTCCACGTCACGGCCTCTCAGCTGGAAGACTCAGCCACCTACCTGTGTGCCGCGGAGGCACAGTGCTCCCTGGTGATCTGCAGCCTGCCCCCAAACTGCCTCTGGGCCTGCAGCACCAGCACTTCCCTGGGGAGGACATGTGCTTGCACCGAGCTGCACGTTTTCAGATTTTCAGATTTATTTACAGCACTTTTCCATTGTAAAATTAGATCCATCAGGGTTGTCGTTTCACCTAATCTCGTGGCTTTTTTCCCCAGAATACCCTTCGCAGGTAAAAAAACTCTACCTTGGAACCGTTCAGGCAAGTGATACAGATGCCCATATCCAATGCTCTGGGAAAACGAAATTCCTGAAAGCTAGCATATAAATTATATGTAAATTACTCAACTGGAAAGCCTCGAAAAAATGGTTGTTCATGAACAAATAAGGAGGTGACTATATTTTTTAGTTATTTGTAGGGTTTTTTTTGAAAGAGTATGTGTACAATATCTTTCGATATATGTTCAGCTTTTTAGAATAATCTTATTGGGGGTCGCATATTCTACTTATGACATGTATTTTCTATTTCAGTAAGATAATAAACTTGAAATAGTAGTTTTGTTTCATGCAGGAATTAAGGGAGGATTTTTGAGAGTAAGTGACTGGGTTACTTAATTATTTATACTTACTCATATTATTCTAAAATTAGTGAATCTGAAGTGGCACGAGAGCTTAGACGCTGAGTAGCTGATAACAGAAGATGCAGAATCACAAAACGTGAATGATTTCTATTGGTCAGTTTGTACACTGTGTTGACATATATTACTGACAAAAGTATCCATTTCAGCCAATGCTAAATAGCACTTTGTGGGGAAGAACTCATGGAAATTTTCATTCTGTTCCATGAAAATTCATTGCTCTCCCTTGCATTTTGAATGAATCTATTACTCACGATTTTTTAACTATTCCCGGTTTGGGAGAGGGAGCAGAAAGCTTCCAGGACTCCACTAACATTCCCTTCTGTGTTGTGGCCAGAGACAAGGACTCTTGACTCCATACCCAAAGCTGAAAGAGCACAAATTGAATTCCAGCCTGCACTCGCTTTTATGTTGGTGCAAGGGTATTGATAGGTAGGACCAGGATCCTAAAAAGTCAGATGGAATTAAATGGACAGAACCTGGAAGCAGAGGTAGCTTCTACCTCTGGGTATGTGACCTGTGCAGTTACATAGCCCCTTATTTTCCCAAGGACCCTTGCCCTTTGTTGAATGCTGTGAAATCATAATGATGTGTTGAAATTCCTAATGATTTTATCTTCGTACTTGTCTTTAATGAGTGAGTCCCAGAAGTGAGAGGAATAGGTGCCTGAGCAGAAGCTATACATGGGGCAGCAGGATACAGGCAGGAACACGTGCAGGCTCAGGTTCTGGGTCACAGGAGGCTCTGTGTGAAGTGAGCTGTTGGCAGGACCACCTGCTGTGCCTATGCCTGCTTTGGACTCTCTGGGGCTTTGACGTGCATCAAGGGGTGTACTGAATTTTGTTGGGAAATTACTACAAAATGCAAATATATACACGGACATTTCAAAAAGGGATTTGGCAGTTTCTTACACAGCGAAACATACTCTTAACATATGGTTCAGCAGTGGCCTTCCTGAGTAGTTACCCAAAGAGGTTGAAAATTCATATGCACACACAGACTTGTACACAAGTCGTTTATAGCAGTTTTATTCACATTTGCCAAAATGTGGAAGTATGCAACATGTCCTTCAACAGGTGAATGAATAAATAAGGGTGGAAATGGTGGTACATCCAAATAATGGAGTACGATTTGGTGCTAAAAAGACAGGAGGTATGGAGCCATGAAGAGATAGGGGAACCTTTCATGCGTTTTACTAAGTGAAAACAGCAATCTGCAAAGGCTACATAGCGTATGGCTATGATCCTATGATATTCCGGAAAAGCCAAAAGTATGGATGCAGTAAGAAGATTGTGGTTGCCAAGGGCTGAGGGGAGCAGGAGGAGGGCATAGAGCACAGAGCATGTTTAGTGTAGTGACTTTACTCTTTATAATACATGGTATGTACGTGCCTCATATAATTGTTCAAACCCATAGAATGTGCAACATCAGGAGTGAACCCTAATTAGATTGTGGGGTTTGCTGATATGATATGGCAGTGTAGGCTTCTTCATTGTGAAAGGTGTCATGGGGAAGATAATAATTGGAAGGCTACACCTGTGTGGGGACAGGAGGTGCGTTGGCATCATCAGTACATCTGTATCATTTTTCTTTGAACTTGGTTGGTTGAAAAAAGAAAGTCTTTAAAAAATTAAGTTGAGAGACATGAAACTAATATGTATGAACAGCTATAGCATTTAAAAAATAGTTTCACTAGAAATATCACCTAAGGACACCTTTCCCCTGCTTTGTGAATGAGGTTCCCAAATTTTCATTTTGAAATGATCTAAAAAATTGTATAGACATCCGTGGCTGGAAACCTTGAAACTCAAGCTCAACTTCCAAGGAGAAAGCCAGAATCCACACAGCAATTAGGCTGTTTTAGAAAGTATTTCTCACTTTCCATATGAATAAGCTCAATCCACCTCCTCTAGATTATCTCGATTGTGGAGATTTTTCCTTTGTTTCACATGATACATAAATTATATGTAATGGATATGTAATATATAAGAAATATATCTCCAGAAGAACCTTCTGCTTACTCATGGCTCACCATGGAGTCCCTGGTCTCACTGCCTGTGAAGCACTTTATACTCAATGAATAGAGTCCAATTTTTTTCCCTGTTAAGTTGGACTTAGCTCTCCTTGATACCATATTGATCTCATAAAAAGAATAAAACCCAGTTAGGATCTGATCCTGTGGAGGGAGTGTCTGCTTCTGAAGAGGCCTTAGATTAGGATCAACTTCAGACCCACTAATCGTATGTGCTTGTGGAAATGGTCTTGTTGTTCCATGATGTAGGCAATTCTACCCCACTCCATTCTGACACCAGTCCACACTGCACACAGCCAGTTCTCAATAAGATTGTTTCTGTTATATAGTGTCAAAGAAATTTAGAGCTGGAAGAGTCCTTAGAAATCTTAGAATCCAACTTCATTTTATACAATAGAGACTATCTGAGATGACAGTAGGGAACAAACAGGTAGTGAATGAACTGGGCTAGAAAGACAGTGGGTGTCCTCACTTCCTCCTTAGCATTCTTTCCTCTACCTCCTTGCTGTAGGACCATCCTGCTGGGTAAAGAGAAAGTGTCTAATGCAAGCCCAGCCGTTTATGTTTGCAGTTTGGGTCTGAGAAAGTCGTGGCCCAATCAGTTTGAATGCCTGAATGGAGAGTTCCACTTTGGGTAAACGTTTGGGACCTTGGGTAGGAAAGGACTCAGGCTGAGCCACTGTTGTTCTACCAGCAGACTCATCCACCACTCCCTGTTTCTGTAGGAGTAAGCCAAAGTTGATGGTGCCATGTGAACACCCACATGTCTTTCTAAGTACTTTCCCCAACATAGCAAATATATTTACTATCCCAGATGGGCATCCCTTGAAGGCAGGATGAATATAATGAGCATAACTCACACATTATCTCAAAGAAATCATTGAAATTGGAAGACTCCTGCAGTTGGCAGTCCATGAACATGATAGATGAAGGTTTTCTAGGCCAATGCTTTGACCATAAGTAAAACACTATTCTATGAAATAATCAAGAAGCTGAGAATTTTGCCCAAGGAATGGCCTTATCTGTGTTATAGGTAATACATGGAAGAGCATTTTTCCTATGAATGGTCATATTCAGACCATTACTCCCAGTTCTGAGTGTAACATCTCAACACTACAAGTATTGACCTAAATTTCTATCTTGGAGAAGAGGGAAATTTGCTTAGAGAAGAGTTGGAGAATTCTTATTTTGTGAAGAATGGGGAAGAGAATGAAAGATTCTCAGAGTGAAGAAGGTTTCCATACATAAAAACACATTTCATATATACACATTTATTTATATATTGAGCTGATATTCTTCACCATGGCTGTCTTTAAACCTTTCAGGGTGGGAGAAGTGGAAGGAAGCTGAATTTTAGTTTTTGTCATTTCAGAAGATCCGTAAGAATGAATCACAGGAAAGGGGGCTTCAACTTTTGAAAATGAAGTAATCTTGGTTTCCCAGAGACCATTTCTCCTGATCAGTTCTTTAGAGCAGATTTCCTGTTGGTATCATTCTGAGGACACAGAATATTTATGCTTCCCTGAATTTATTCTCACAGAAGACATAAAATTTCCAATAAACTAATGTGAATGATAAAGGGGTTTTGGCAGGAAGAGATAATACTGGAAACTCACATGCCTGGAGAAAATTATCAATGAATCGTGGGGAACAAACACAATAGCTTTGGAGAAATATGAAGAGTATGGTATGTGAACCAGTGATGGCCAGCAGGTGGGAAGCCTGCAGGAATAGATGGTTATTACTTTAGAGGAAATTCTCCTGAGGCCATGAGTCAGTAATTGCATTCGAGGACATACCATCTCTTTTGATTCAAGAAAATGAAATCCTTTGAAGAATAAACGTACACAAGGTTATATTATCTGAGATTTCAGCTTGATATTTCATCAACATTTCTACTCTGTCAATACCTTGTCAAATATAAGACACACAGCATTCAAATAGTTTTTTAAAAGCATGTCAGATTTCTCTATGCAAATTTCTCCACTCTTGGCTCAGACAGTCTCCTGTAGTTGAAGCATTGATAACAGATGGAAGCTATCCCTGCTCCCTTGTCACTGAGAGCTGTTTCCTTACTTTTTGTCATACTCATCTTAACTGAGGGAAGATTCCACATTTTGACTGTTAGTACCGTCAGTCCTCTGGGAATTGCAAGGTCATGAGCAAAACCCACCAAGGAGGAGCAGAGTCTGAGATCAGAGGCATTTGAAATGTCAGATGATCTCAATCTTGTCTCTCTTACTCTAATCTTTGCATTATGTGACCCTTTACAAAGGGTTTTTCTCTATGACAGGCAATTGAGGATGGTAGATTTGTCAGAAAGGGAAGGTTTTCATTTTCTTTGCTTAAGGTAGGGAATCATGATTCTTTCCTGATTTCAAACATGTATACTAGACCCATCGTTGAATAAACAGCAATAGCATCTACCTCTTTCCTCTTTTCAACTTATTAACAGTGACTCAGTAGAGTGCAGAGGTATAAATCTTTCTTTTTTATAATAAATTTATTTTTTATTGGGGTTCAATTTGCCAACATACAGAATAACACCCAGTGCTCATGCCATCAAGTGCCCCCCGCAGTGCTCGTCACCCATTCACCCCCACCCTCACCCTCCTCCCCTTCTACCACCCTTAGTTCCTTTCCCAAGTTAGGAGCCTTTATGTTGTGTCTCCCTTTCTGATATTTCCCACACATTTCTTCTCCCTTCCCTTATATTCCCTTTCACTATTATTTATATTCCCCAAATGAATGAGAACATACAATGGTTGTCCTTCTCTGATTGACTTACTTCACTCAGCATAATACCCTCCAGTTCCATCCACGTCGAAGTAAATGGTGGGTATTTGTCGATTCTAATGGCTGAGTAATATTCCATTGTATACATAGGCCACAGCTTCTTTATCTATTCACCTTTCGATGGACACCGAGGCTCCTTCCACAGTTTGGCTACTGTGGACATGGCTGCTAGAAACATTGGGGTGCAGGTGTCCGGCGTTTCATTGCATCTGAATCTTTGGGATAAATCCCCAACAGTGCAATTGCTGGGTCGTAGGGCAGAGTCTATTTTTAACTCTTTGAGGAACCTCCACGCAGTTTTCCAGAGTGGCTGCACCAGTTCACATTCCCACCAACAGTGCAGGAGGGTTCCCTTTTCTCCACATCCTCTCCAACATTTGTGGTTTCCTGCCTTGTTAATTTTCCCCATTCTCACGGGGGTGAGGTGGTATCTCATTGTGGTTTTGATTTGTATTTCCCTGATGGCAAGTGATGCGGAGCATTTTCTCATGTGCATGTTGGCCATGTCTATGTCTTCCTCTGTGAGATTTCTCTTCATGTCTTTTGCCCATTTCATGATTGGATTGTTTGTTTCTTTGGTGTTGAGTTTAATAAGTTCTTTATAGATCTTGGAAACTAGCCCTTTATCTGATAGGTCATTTGCAAAATCTTCTCCCATTCTGTAGGTTGTCTTTGAGTTTTGTTGACTGTATCCTTTGCTGTGCAAAAGCTTCTTATCTTGATGAAGTCCCAATAGTCCATTTTTGCTTTTGTTTCATTTGCCTTCGTGGATGTATCTTGCAAGAAGTTACTGTGGCTGAGTTCAAAAAGGGTGTTGCCTGTGTTCTCCTCTAGGATTTTGATGGAGTCTTGTCTCACATTTAGATCTTTCATCCATTTTGAGTTTATCTTTGTGTATGGTGCAAGAGAGTGGTCTAGTTTCATTCTTCTGCATGTGGATGTCCAATTTTCCCAGCACCATTTATTGAAGAGACTGTCTTCCTTCCAGTGGATGGTCTTTCCTCCTTTATCGAATATTAGTTGACCATAAAGTTCAGGGTCCACTTCTGGGTTCTCTATTGTGTTCCATTGATCTATGTGTCTGTTTTTGTGCCAGTACCACACTGTCTTGATGACCACAGCACTGTAGTACAACCTGAAATCTGGCATTGTGATGCCCCCAGATATGGTTTTCTTTTTTAAAATTCCCCTGGCTATTCGGGGTCTTTTCTGATTCCACACAAATCTTAAAATAATTGGTTCTAACTCTGTGAAGAAAGTCCATGGTATTTTGATAGGGATTGCATTAAACGTGTCAATTGCCCTGGGTAACATTGACATTTTCACAATATTAATTCTGCCAATCCATGAGCATGGAATATTTTTCCATCTCTTTGTGTCTTCCTCAATTTCTTTCAGAAGTGTTCTATAGTTTTTAGGGTATAGATCCTTTACCTCTTTGGTTAGGTTTATTCCTAGGTATCTTATGCTTTTGGGTGCAATTGTAAATGGGATTGACTCCTTGATTTCTCTTTCTTCCGTCTCATTGTTAGTGTATAGAAATGCCATTGACTTCTGGGCATTGATTTTGTATCCTGCCACACTGTCAAATTGCTGTATGAGTTCTAGCAATCTTGGGGTGGAGGCTTTTGGGTTTTCTATGTAGAGTGTCATGTCATCGGCGAAGAGGGAGAGTTTGACTTCTTCTTTGCCAATTTGAATGCCTTTAATGTCTTTTTGTTGTCTGATTGCTGAGGCTAGGACTTCCAGTACTATGTTGAATAGCAGTGGTGAGAGTGGACATCCCTGTCTTGTTCCTGATCTTAGGGGAAAGGCTCCCAGTGCTTCACCATTGAGAATGATATTTGCTGTGGGCTTTTCATAGATGGCTTTTAAGATGTTGAGGAATGTTCCCTCTATCCCTACACTCTGAAGAGTTTTGATCAGGAATGGATGCTGTATTTTGTCAAATGCTTCCTCTGCATCTAATGAGAGGACTATATGGTTCTTGGTTTTTCTCTTGCTGATATGATGAATCACATTGATTGCTTTACGAGTTTTGAACCCGCCTTGTGTCCCGGGGATAAATCCTACTTGGTCTAGGTGAATGATTTTCTTAATGTACTGTTGGATCCTATTGGCTAGTATCTTGTTGAGAATTTTTTCACCCATGTTCATCAGGGATATTGGTGTATAAGTCTCCTTTTTTGTGGGGTCTTTGTCTGGTTTTGGAATTAAGGTGATCCTGGCCTCATAGAATGAAATTGGAAGTACTCAATATCTTTCTATCTTTCCAAACAGCTTTAGTAGAACAGAGGTATAAATCTTGATCTCCACATTCTTATTGTGCATTTGATCTCTTATCTAACACATCTAACATAGAAGTTGCTTAACTGATTGCTGCCTTTAAGCATCTGCATCTCTCAGAGGCAAGGCTAAGAGAAGACTATTTCCCCAGTGATTTAAATAGAGATGTGACCACAGACAGTAGTGCACCTATGCTGATGCAGAACACATGGAGGGTTCTTTTTAGTACATTCTGACTAACTAAGCTCTGGCAGAAGCAGGGTCATATTCTTACTATTGGCTGGGTAGACAATGAAGGAAGGTACTCTGCTAGAGAAAAGAATGGGCGACCTGATAGGAGAAGGAGCTGAGCTGGCTTGAGGCTGCAATGCTGAAGCTGATCATAACTGGGAGGAGGCATGAAGACATCCATGGGAGCTTTGATCATGTTCTGGTGGCTGCAGGTGAACAGTGAGTTGAGTCTTTATGGGAAACAGAGGATATTACTGGATATTCTTCAGAAGTCAAGAATGGTTTTACTCAGGTCTCCTCCAATTAGGGTAGAAAGAGAGATTTCTGAAGCATAATAACCTGGAATCTCCTCTCCTTTCTCTGACCTTTTCTTTCTGCATAGGGTTCAGCCAAGGAGAGAATGTGGAGCCGCATCCTTCACCTGAGTGTCCAGGATGGAAACAGCACTGCCATCAACTGGAGTTACTCAGACAGTGGCTCAGACTACTTCCCTTCGTATAAGCAAGAATTTGGGAAAGGTCCCCAGCTCATGATTGATAGACATTCATTCCTCTGTGGCTGAAAAAGAAGACCAAAGACTCACTGTTTTCTTGAATAGGATGGCCCAACGCCTCTCCTGCACATCGCAGCCACCCAGCCTGAAGACTCAGCTGTGTACTTCTGTGCAGCGAGCACACTGTGCTTCCGAGGCACCTGCTGCCTCCACTCAACCCTGTGACTGGGGCAGCCCTTGTCCTTCGGCACAGACCATCAAATACAGCATTTGTCCTATTGTTTGTCTGCAAGTGGAAACTCATATGTTAGACGTTAAAAGCATATTATATTAGGATGGAGATGACCCAGATAGGGCTAGAACATTTTGTTGGATGACTATTGTTTAATGGATTCTTGAAATGATTTAGGAATGTTTTCTTTCGAAATTTAGGTTTTAAGATGACTTTACCTTTGCTCCTCAGACTCATCTCTTATAAATAACTCCTAGGTCCTATTAATACAGTCCTTATCATGGATTGGCACCAAGTATTGTGCTACAAAAGTAGCATTTATAATTTTTCTCATTCTAAAACATTATGTGTCAAAGATAGTTATGTGAAAGTGATTTATCTGTTATCCAATAATAATGCTAACATTCCTTTTAGTCTCTACAAATACTCATTAGAATTAGATTCATGATTTTTTGGCTTTATGTGTTTTGATTCGAGCATTCCCCATTTCATCAATTCTTTCCCTCAAGCATCTGCTTTTTTATTTTTTATTTTTTAATTTTCATTTAACGTGTACTTTAAAATCGCTCTGTGTGGTATTTGAATGAGTTACAGTTTTGTATTAATTTTGTTCCTCTGTATTTGGGGCAAAAGTTGACAGCATCTCTATGTACTTTGGTCACTTTCTTTTCAGAAATTGTGTCTCTGATTTTACCTTGTGGGCCAGGGATGATATGTACTATTTGTGTGTGTGAGGGAAATTAAGTTAGGGAGTAATTTGACAATGCGAGCCTCAGATAAAATTTAGAAGTCTATTCTTGTTTATAAAATTCCTTAAGTATCTATTCATAATAAGTCTCTCACAATATTTTGGAGAAGGATTTCTGTATTTCAATCACTGCTATATTTGCAGTATCTAGGAGAAATTTTTCCACATACCTGATTATTAGTAGATGTTAAAGAAGAAGAAAGAAAGGAGAATTCCTCTACTTATTTATTATTATTATTTTTAATTAATTATTTTTATTTCTTTATGATAGTAGAGAGAGAGAGAGAGAGAGAGAGGCAGAGACATAGGCACAGGGAAAAGCAGGCTCCATGCACCGGGAGCCCGACGTGGGATTCGATCCGAGGTCTCCAGGATCGTGCCCTGGGCTAAAGGCAGGCACCAAACCTCTGTGCCACCCAGAGATCCCTACTTATTTATTATTTTCATTGAAGCTTCATGATTGAAGTAAGTTTACAAACTTATTGGGGAAAAATAAAAGTCCTTAAAGTGTATATGGGATTATTTGACTGTTTTAAAACATACTGTTTCTATTTTGATTTCTCTTTCTTAATGATACTCTGCTTGTTTGAAGATAATTCAATTTATTCTTGGACTATGAATTTTTTGTATCATTATAATGAAAGCCTTTCTTTCTGAGATATATGGGAAAACTATTATATGCATGTATCAGCCACTTTACTATTATTGGTAGATTGCACAGAGGCATTTGGACTAATGGCTCATGTAGGGATGACATACTACCAACTTTTCAGCCACTTGTTCACTTTGCCTGAATTAAATATTACTAATCACAACCTTCTTTTTAAGAAAGTTACTTCTCTGGTGTGGTAGAGAAAAGAATGGAATGAAAGAGGTGGTGTAAATAGTTAATTGCCTCATTCTCCACCCCTGTTCAAGAATAGGCTCCTTTCAAGGCCCCTCGAACTTTTAGTAACTATTGATGGATATCATTGGCAATTGGCATGGAGAGTGATATCTCTTAGCTGAGTTATGGTTGTGAGTTATTTGCTAACTGACTTGTTCTTACTGGGAAAGTCCGTGCATTAAATTTGGTTGAAAACACCTGAAAAAGGTGGTTATTACTGTAGCCCCAAATCTCAATGGGCTGGATTCTTTTTTTTTAAGGTTTTATTTATTTATTCATGAGACACACACACACAGAGACACACACACAGAGGCAGAGACACAGCAGAGGAAGAAACAGGCTCCTTGCAGGGAACCTGACATGGACTCCATCCCAGAACTTCAGGATCACGCCCTGGGCCGAAGGTAGGCGCTAAACCGCTGAGGCACCCAGGGATCCCTATGAGCTGGATTCTTTCCCTTCTTATACCATCAGCTCTTGTGGGGTAGAATCAAGGGGGCTCTTGATTGGTCCATTTCCTCCAAGCTTGATAGTGGAGTCAGAGGGAATCATGCCTCTATATTATTGGTTTAATTTCTTCTAAAGTAGGAATTGAGAGAGAGGGTGCAGTTATTACAGTACTAAATGTTTTAAATATGTAAGTGAGAATTGGTTCAGTGAAAGAGTAAAAAGTACTTTTTCCAGAGTGTGCAGTGAGTACTGGCTTAGATCCAGACACGTTCCGGCTTGAAACCTTCACCATGGTTGTGTGTTTGTTTCCTCCAGCCTCAGGACAATATAGTACAAACTTTAAGGCCTTCTCTTGATCCTCTGAAGCCAAATTGGATGCTGAGAGTCTCCCTTTTGTTTGCTTTCTCTAGGATGGTGTGACTGAATTTGTGTGATTTCTCCCAGTCTGACAGAGTGCGGCTGCTTTCTGGAAGCGCTCACTAGCCACTTCTAAAAGCTCACTGTTGTCTTCCTGTCTGTGCTGGTGTCAGGCTATAGTGTGTGTGAAGAATGAGTGAGTGACTGCGTGTTGTGTGTGTCCATGGATCATTTGTGTGGGTCTACACGCAGGCCATCTCCTGTGGCTCGTGGGCAGATTCCTCATGGAGGCCATGCCATGGTTTGTAGGGTCCATGTTGGTTTACAGCCCTCCAGATGCCCTGGGTGCTGCCCCCCTAGGTACTCCCACGTCAGGTGAGCAGTCAGCCTCAGTGTTCTGGATGGGGCTGGAAAGAGTGTTCTCTTTGTAGCATCCTCCAGAGCTGGGGCAACCAGGTGCTCACTCACATGTCCTCTTTTCCCTCCATGGGGAAATCACAGGCTGGAAAGTTTCTCTTGGTGCACAGCTGTGCTAATGGGCAGGGCTGATGAGGGTAAAGTGAAACTGCTCTCGTGCCCTCGTCAATCTGTCCAATCTAGATGTGTTTTGTTCCACAGTGTACTGTTTTTCTCAGCTGGGCTTTTTCATAGGCACTATGTTAGTTTAGCATATAATTCTGGATAAGAGTGGTTTTTTGGGGGGTGCAGACAGAGATGGTAGAAAATTCCTCTTTTGCCATTTTGATTTTGTGTTGAAATTTTTTAATTAATTAATTACTTAATTTTAAACACCTAAATTGAAGGTGGTTTTGGTTTTTTTTTTTTTTTTTTGGAAAATTTTGTATATTTTTTTGAAGGAGAGAGATGGCAGGAGCTTGGGGGAGGTGCAGAGGGAGAAGCACACTCCCCCTCTGAGTAGCAGGGCTGGAACAAGATCTCATGATATGATCACGCCAAAGGCAGATGCTTATCCAACTGAGTCATCCAGATGCCCCTAAATTTTTTATTTCAAAATAATTATATGGAAAATTGACTCGTTTTGGTATACTGAGCTGTGAATTTGAATTTTGATACATATTATAAGTCCTATAACCATTAGAGTAGCATATACAGTCCAGGTTCATTTCTCCCCAAAACTCCTGTGTTCCTTTCCTTTGCCTTGACACGTGTGCTTCCATATTCCCAACCAAACAATAGTTTATTCTTATTTTTGTGATTTTAGGAATGTCATATTGATGGGAGCCTACAACATATAGAGTTATGAGAACTATGTGTCTTGGTGGGAGGAACCACATGCCACAGGGCACACGCATGATCTCTACCTCTGTCTCATTGTTTCTTACCCTTGATGATTGGAAGCTACTTTCATAGGAATGGCTCATTATTTCAAGTGTTTAAATTCCTTGAGAGACTTGATTTATATAGTTCTACAAAGTATATTTGGCATTTGGTAATGCAGAGGTGGTGTTGAAATTTGGATCAACTCATATAATCAAGCTGAGGTATGTTCTGTACACAAGCTTCATTGCACAGATATCATCCTAAATTGTTATCAATAGATACCTTCTGACATTTTAAGGGTAATTTAATTGATGAAGATTCACTCTAATCACTACCAATTAGGGTTGGTGATTATCTGGCTTCTGCAGGAGTTGATATGGAATAGCATATCTAATAATCGTTCAACTTTGTTGCACTAGCAATGTCTGTGCAGAGCTGAGCTATAGCACTAGGGTGAGTATTGTGTCAATAAAAGGCCATACCCATGCAAGTTATTTTATTAGTGAGAGAACAATTCAGAGTAATCGGAAATACCTAACATTTTACCATTAGAGTGGGAAATCATTTCTCAAGGATAAAAATTACCTCAAAAGAGTGCAAAGGAAAATATTGCAACCAGTGGCACCAAACACCTAGATTAATTCTCTTCTAATGGCCTTGGATGGGACTGTCTGCTTCATGCAATTACATGTTTCTTTCTAGGATATTGCATGTGCTCTCACCTGTGGAATGCCCACTTCTGCTGAATTTCTGGAGGACTTCAGTTTAGGATCTCTAATATGAGAAACTTTTTCAATTCTTGTCAATAAAGGATGTAGGATATCAATTAGTTGATGTAACCAAGGATCCATTTCTTGTACTTTATCTACCTAACTGGTAATAAAATGTAGATATAAGGTCAATTCGCAAGTCTCAATGGCAATCTTTTCCTGAGGTTGTTCAGAGCACCAAAGGTTTAGGTCAAGTAAAGGTGGTTAAATGAATGGGCAGAGGCAATCTGTGTCTAGGACGAAAGGAAGAGTCTCAAGAGCTTACTTACTTAGTTCAATATGCGAAGATTGGAATACATATGATGTGGCACATTCTGAGTTATGTGGGCCAAAGTGAGCAGTTCA